CCATTTATCTCTTTTTCCAGGTGCCCACTCAGTATTTCTACAAGATGTATTTTCTACAAGTAATCTACAAAATGACTACAAGACATCTTCTGTGGAAGTGTCCCAACGCCCTGACTCAGGAACCTCAGAATACCACCCTTCCAGGCTTTGGTTCTCATAACAGACTCCACGTCCCCAGCCCCCCACCAGGGACCCGGGTGGAAACCCCGACCCTCTCCCATACACCGCACTACACCAGCCTCCAGATTATTCTGCCTCCAGAATGTCTCATACTTTGCCCACACCCTTTCTCTCTCCATTGTTATAGGAACATGTTGTTATTTTTCTATTTTTACATCAAGGATTTTACCCAGGATCTGCCAGGGATGATGTGGGACAGAGAAGGTCCAGAGATGATTAAAACACCATTCCTGCCTTCAAGGAGATTACTGCCTAGAGGAAGAGGTTGGGATCCAAACAAGTAATGTAACCTAAGTACTAAAATAGAGGATGAGTATAAAGGTTTTAAGAACGGAGGGGAAGAGGAGAATAATTCTGCCTTAGAAGTTCAGGGAAACGTCCCATAAGAAGTAAATATTTGAGCGGCGTTTTGAAATACCCATAGGATTTCCCCAGAAAGAACAGGGGCTCCAGCACCTCTTTTCTGGACTATTCCAAGAGCCCCCCTCACCAGTCTCCTAATGCCCAGGCTCTCACTCCTGGGATCCTCCGCGCGCATCCAGACATCATCCGGACACACAGCCCTGAACGCCGTACTCACCAGCGCGCAATCTCCACGTGCTCCCGACTGGCTGATGATTTACAGCCAAACACTTCCGCACGGCGCTCAAGGTCATCCTCACCCTGCCACAGCCTTCGTTCCCAGCCCCGTCTCCCCGCGACCCCACAACTTCCCCTCCAGGCCAGGCACCGCAAGCCAGTCTCTTTCTCTCACACAGTCCAGGCCCTGACCCACACATGAGGTTTGTTTCTCATTGCTACTTAGCAAGACCTTGCCCATCCTTCTAAGCCCAGTCTAAATCTCATCCCGACTATGGAAACTTCCAGGACCCAGAACAGAACTTAGTTGACATGTGTCTCGAAGCAGTGAACTGCTGCTCATGTGCTTTATGCGCTGCTATCGGAGGACACCTCTCTTCCTTCGTCCCCCGCAACCTTGCCCTCCGAGAAGACAGGGCCACCCTCAATCACTTCCCTCTGCCCTCAGTAGTACCACATGTGCCCTGGCACGTAATTGCCAATTAAATCATGCTGAATTGAACCGAAGAAAAATGAACTGGGTGGGGAGGAGAATGCTTTTCCTCTAGCCAAATTTTATTCCTTGTTTTTGCTCCCTCATGCCAAAACGCCTCTTTTCCTGTCACTTGGTGACTAGGTTCCATCATCTCTTTTATCTCCTTCTCCTTTTTGAAATCGTTAGCTAAGCCACCAGCAAACAGGGGTCTGCCTCCCTCTGGAAAACACGCACGCACTTCAAACAGCTGGGTTCTGACAGACTTGCTAAAAGCCTTCCTTCTAATAGAAGCCCTTTGCGTTCTGAAGGCTGGGAACCACTTCACTTCATGTCCAAATAGGAGTGGCGTTCGCTGGAAAATCTGAAAGTGAGGCGCTTTACAAAAAGGCTTCAGACGCCAGCACTTCCTGCCTCCGGCCACGTGCAGAAGCCTGCCCCTTCCTGGGTAGGCCAGATGATCCCCACCAGCCATTTCTGATGATTAAAACTCCGAGGAACTGATACCTCTGAAGTGAGTTAAGCAGAATAAATAAACCCCTGCCTCTGTCTTTCAGAGGCCTGCCCCCGCCTTTCAACTTCATCAAAGCCACCCGGCAGA